TCCCTCCGCTGCCCTCTCTCCCTCCTCTGCCCTCTCTCCCTCTCTTCGCACCATCAGCCTGACCCCTGATACAAGTGTCTTTTCTCCCCCTCCGGGTTTTTCTGTTGTGGATATTAACCACGTTTCATTTGAAAGCAGGTATTATTTATTTGTAGCCTCCAAACACCTTTAGTTTTAGCAAACAACAGCAGGACACGCTTTGTCGCTGCGCATGATGTGAGCTGTGTTACGTGATGATTTTGATTGACGCTGCAATGACTGGGACAAAATTACTAACGTTATGAAAATATATTATAGTCTCCAAACACAATTTAACAAGTAGTCCTTTTGAATCAAATCAAATGCTAAATAAATATTTAAGGGCTTTATATTTGCTCAAAAAAAAAAATCTTTTTTTTGTGTGGAAATCATCTTGCGACCCCCCCAGGGGTTCCCGCGACCCCCCGGGGGGTCGGGACCCCCACTTTGGGAACCACTGCATTAGTGCACTGGCCAAGTAGGGAATGCATATTGACCAGTATGCCACATCAGTTTGTGGAGTCATTTGGGAATAATGTGGCTGCCATTGTGCCACGGTGGCTGAGTGGATAGCACTCTCGCCTCTCAGCAAGAAGGTCCTGGGTTCAAATCCCGGTTGGACCAGGGCCTTTCTGAGTGGAGTTTGCATGTTCTCCCCGTGTCTGCGTAGGTTTCCTCCGGGTGCTCCGGTTTCCCCTACCACTAAAAATATGTACAATAGGTCTGGCATGTGCCTCCTGTACTGGCACCCCCACTCCCAAAAAAATTACAATTGTAAACTGCTTTGAGACTCCGATGTGCAGTGAAAAGGCGGTATATAAATAAAGATTACTTACTTACTTACATTGTGGACTGCTTCGAGGTGTTCATCGAGAAACCCTCAAATGTACTAGCAAGGGCACAGACTTTCTCTCAATACAAACACGCATACACCATGAAATACCTTATTGTGATCACGCCCCAGGGTGTCATTTCCTTCATATCGAATGGGTGGGGTGGGCGCACAAGTGACAAGCATATAACTGAGCAAAGTGGTTTCCTGAACAAACTTTTACCAGGTGACATTGTGCTGGCAGATAGGGACTTTAATATAAGAGAAAGTGTAGGCATGATGTGTGCTGAAGTGAAATTACCTACATTCACAAGGGGTCGTGCACAGCTGGAGGCAAAAGATGTGGAGGAGACTAGGGCCATTGCACATCTCAGAATTCACGTTGAAATTCTTACACTCAACTGTACCTGTGCATATGCTTCTCAAATGTGAGGGTGAAAACCTAATGCCTTTAGATAAGATTGTCACTGTTTGCTGTGCCTTAACGAACATGTGCAAAAGTGTTGTTTGAGTGCCTTGTTCATAACTTATGAACCAACCAGAACCCCTCATGTCAATTGTTTTGTAACATAAACTTGCCTTGCCTTTTTAATTTCTTTGAAATAAATGTTTGAAACAACTTCATGTGGCAAAGCAATATTTATTGAGAAATTAACATTTTTTGGAGGGGGGGTGTAATCTCTTGGAAAAGTTAACAGTGCAAAAGAACGTGTGCATTAAAAGTATAAATATTTCCAGCATGTAAACATAAACAACATAAGTAATAATAATACTGTCATTAGTGCAAAAGAACAAACAACATCCAAACAATAAAAAAATTGAGGGTTTTTTTGTATGTTTTTTGTTCTTTTGCACTAATTATAGTATTTCATTATTATGTTGTTTATGTTTACATGCTGGAAATATTTATACTTTGAATGCACACGTTCTTTTCTTAAGCTGAAAACGTAAGAAAAGAACGTGTGCTGTCCACGTATAAATATTTCAGCATGAAAAGATGGACAACATAATAAAACAGTAATACTGCTGTTAGTGCAAGTACAACGGTGTTTTCACCGCCTGGAGGCTTGTAGATGGCCAAGTCCTGCACCCAACCACAGCAGAAAGCCTCGTAACTCTCCAGTGACTTGTGACTTGTGACTTCTAAACTCCTGCATTGTGTAATAACTAACACCGAAAACAAGGTAATTGACTATATCCATGTACGTGCACGGAGGCAAAAAGTCTAGGTCTTTTTGCCACTCCGCTGCAGGAAGCTCGTATGGGTCTACCTGTTGTATGTCTGAGAGCTTCTCCAAATAACGTTGTTTTGCCGTGGGTAGAAGCTTTTCCCTGTACGGTCCATTTCCTTTCGCCTTCACTTTCTCCATTAACTGTCTTGCTAGTGTTGTAATCGTAGATGTATCTACTGCCGAACTAATAAACGCGCTCAAGTTAAAGACCTCTGGAGCGTTAGCGTTAGTGGCGTTGCCCCTGGCAACCGATAGAGGATCCTATCAACATGGCCGACCGGATTAGACCCCGCCCAAATTATCACGTGACTCCTCATTCTCAATAGCATTCTAAGTTACGTTAGGAACGCTGGGGAGTAAAATGTGCGTCTGGGGCACCGTCTCGGTGGATGGACGCGTGGTCCGGTGCAGCCGTGTATATTTTATTCGACGATAAAAAAAAATAATCAAATGCACATCCAGGAAGGTCTTCGCCATCCGCAGTGCAGCGTGTGTGCTTGAAATGCTCCTAAAGCTGCGTTACACAACAATTATACATTGTTTTGACCCAACAGACTTGTGTAATGTAAAAATCAGAATACAACATGCTTTTTTATAGGAAACATTTTACCGTTTTGCGTATTGAGTCCTGTAAGTCACTTATTGACACTATGGGCTTTTTCTGTCCAATAAATGCTGATCAAGAATTATAAATGATTACACTTTGCCACTTTTGTTTGAGTATTAGTGAATGTATTCACCTGTACAATTCTTGGTGAGACAATTGTGAATGCTTAGTGTATATTGTGCATGATCATATAAATAGTGAAAAAGCATATTTTTGTGATTCATAATTATCTAATTTCCCCTCCTTTTCCCTCCCATAGATCTATAGTTCCAGATATCAGCCTATTGGAAATAAGTAAACTGCTGGACCCCTATCCCCTGTGTGACTACAAAGTTGAGCCCTGGCGAATGGTCACACTGAAAAGATTCATTCACTGTAAAGGTAACTTTTTTCCAATTTGTTTTTTAGAATTGCAGTATTGAACACATCATACTCATTTTGAAATAAAATTGTTAATTTTAACACACACAAACTCCTTAACTTTGAACCTGAGGTTGTGAAACATGTTCAGTGGGAAAAGATTACTTCAATAATCAATGGGCCTCATTCACGAATAACTTCGTAAGAAACTACTCAACTTTCTTCTCAAGTTGTCCTTAAGTAGATTTCTAAGAAGTCCCCACGTGGGATTCATCAACGCACTCGTAAGCCGCTGAATTGTTCGCAGCTGTTCTCTCAGATTGATGAATCCCATTTCCTCGTAAGTAGAGCGCGCGTGCCAGGTGCTTCATTAGCATAGGTACTTAGCATAAGTAACCGCCCACTAATGCCCATATAAGGGACTGCAGGGCCGTGTGCAGACGGCTGAGGAAACAGCAACAGGCCTTTACACGGAGCAAAAGTCACCCTTTTTTCTTCTTTTACCAGACTGAGAATAAAGTTATAAAATGTTGACTTAAAAGTCGAAATATTATGATAATAAAGTCGAACTAGCAAAATTATGAGATTAATCTAAGAATATGATGAGATTAATCTCAAAATGTTATGAGCTTAATTTAAAAATATATTATGTATTATTTTAAAGATGAATCTCAAAATGTTTTGAGATTAATCTCAAAATATTTTGGACCCTGGGAGGAGATCCAGCGCGGACCAGCGCTGAGACCAATGCAGACCCGAGGAGAGACTGGAGTGACCAGCACACAGAAACCAGCGCGGACCTATAGGAGAGACCGCATAGACTGGAGTGACCTGACTGGAGAGACCGCATAGACTGTAGTGACCTGACTGGAGAGACCGGTGCGCAGAGACCAGCGCGGACCGAAGAGAGACCGCATAGACCAGACTTGAGAGACCAGCGCGGATCCGTATGGAGAGACCAGTGCAGACCAGTATAGATCCATGGGAGAGACCAGTGCAGACCCGTATATGGGAGACACCAGCGCAGACCCGTATAGATCCATAGGAGAGACCAGCGCAGAGACTCAGCGCGGACCCAGTAACCTCCTGCAGCAGCAGTATATATGCCGTTGTTCTGTGGCCCGTGGATAAAGAAATGCCCCCTATAAATAGGAAGGGGTCACTAATACACGGCAAGATTTCCAATGTATTTGATAAAGCGTTGGCACATTTCATTTCAAAATGAATTAAAAAGTAGGCCAGATCTGCAGTGAAAAAGGCGGTATATAAATAAAGATTACTAATAAAGATTACTACAAATAAATAAATACATACATCGATATGACGGACATATCACTGGAATGTTGTATTTTTATTCAACTTTACCAAAGAGGACAACCCCCGCATGTGAACATGTCGGCACTGAATGCGTACGAGTGCTCCTGAGGACTCGTAGGATTTGTACTTGCCCAAGAGAAATTCTGGTTACGAGAAATATTCGTGAATGCCACTTTCTTCGTAAAAACCGCGTAAGTAGGATTTACGTACAAATCTGTTCCTAAGAACCGTTCGTGAATGAGGCCCAATGTCTGCAGCCCTATATTGAATTGTTCCTGTTTTTCCCCATAACAAATTGACCCGTTACATGTGCTGTTCTAGTATTTTTTTGCAGAATAATTCAAAACACACTGAGTGTCACAAAGCTCCTTGTGATCCTTGGTGAACACAATGCAGTGAAACTTTCCCTACCATTAGGAATCCCTGCTACAATTAAAGAACTGAAATGTCACATTCGAAATCAGTGTTCACTTACTGGAGACTTTAGAGTACAGTACATGGATGATGACTTTAATATTTTTGTGAATCTCACATCAACTGCAACTTTAAAAAATATGGCCAAAGTGAAAGTTGTTTCACGCGAAACTTCCTGGGAGCCTGCAAGTCCTCATCCATCCAGTAGGTCTTCTCAGACCCTGAGCCCGAGTTCCAGTCCTGGTTCTTGTAGATACTCTGTAGACACTGACATTTTATCATCACCTGTGACTTCATCCTCCTCTTCTTCTTCCAGGCCGTTGACCATTTCACCAAAAAGTTGGCCGTTTTCACTTAAAGAGTAATTGCCAGTGGCTTATCATTTTCATTGGAAACCAAAAGTAAAAACTAAGTATTGTTATATTCACATTTGTATCATACTAAACATTCTCAATGTTCAAATGAGTTACTGAGAAAGGCATGCCCAATAGTTAAAAATTACATGTACGTACAAAATATATGTATGACTGACTGTTCTTTACCATGTTGTTTAAAAATAGACTTGGGATATTGATAATTCATACAGGCGTGTCTGTTGTAAATTAAAGTTGAAAAAATGTCAACAGATTTTCATTGCATAGCTAATGTTAACTATGCACTGCATGTAAAGTTTGATAAAAGCACTTTTGTATTATGATGTGAACAGCTGAGCACATTTTGTTTGGTTTTGCACAAATTGCTCAATAAATGCATCATGTTGTATTACTTGTCTGTTTGATTTGGAGTTACCTATTTTGATTACGTAGGGAAAATGTAAGTGTATTTTGTCAAGTGTGATGCATGAAACTTTATCATGTAAAATGAGGAAAGTTATTTTCATTATCTTAATGTAATACATTCAAATTGATTCCATCTAAACATCTTGCATTACAATTAGTTAAAGCTATCACATAAAAACTACATGATTATGTTGTGTTAATAATAAGCCATGATGTTTAATAGAAATTACTTAACTAAGTTAAGCATTTTTCATCCAACTGCATTATACAGTTAATAACTGAAAGGAATAGGTTGTTTTTATGTAATACACTTATATAGGACCTATTTAATAAGTTTATGTATTCTGAACTCAATCCACTTTTTTAAATATTACTTAAGGTGGTTGCATGCATCACACTTGACGCAACACAGTTGAGTATATCCTAAGATTATTTTTTTGAGTGCATTTTAGAATTCCTAATTAATGGTAGCTATATGTAACATGTGTAGTTTAAATGTTTGTAATTATACACAGCCTATATATTGCTAATCAAAGTAAAAGTATTCAGAATACAGTGTACACTCGTGTACATAACATCATAACTCAATACTTCAAAAACTCATACACTTTCATGCGGGGACACAATCGCTCCTGTGAAGGTTAAAATAGTGAAAAATAAGCAGAAGGCGCCGTGGGCTAAAGCAGACTCGGTCAGGGCACAAAAGAGAGCGTGCCGGAGGGCCGAGCGGAAGTGGCGCAAGTCCAACCTCCAGGTTGATTACGAGATCTTCAAAGATAAGTTGTGCGAGTTTAACCAGGTGCTACGTAGTACGAGAGAAAGGTATTTTTCTGAAATGATTGAAGGCTGCAGCAACAATCTGCGTGTTCTGTTTTCAAAAGTTAATAGATTAACAAACCCCCCTGTTCAGATGCCATTAGAGCTAACTTCCAAACGTAAATGTAATGAGTTTGCACATTTTTTCAATGACAAGGTTCAAGGCATCAAAAACGCCATTGTCTCCAATCCACAGATAACCATCCAACAACCTAAAAGGCTCTTTGAGCTAACTTACTTTGCACCTGTAAATGATCAAACTGTCCAAGAGATAATCTCCAGTATGAGCGCCTCCACATGTAGCCTGGATGTACTACCCACTAGATTTCTAAAGTCTGTTCTGAGCAGTCTGTTACCTTCACTCACACAGATAGTAAACATGTCCCTTCATTCTGGAATATTCCCAAAGGCCCTGAAAACTGCAGTCATCAGGCCCCTGCTTAAAAAGAGCAGTCTCGATGCTACGGTACTTAACAACTATCGTCCCATCTCCAATCTGCCATTTATGGGGAAAGTCCTTGAAAAAGTTGTCTACCAACAGCTAAATAGATTTCTTATAATCAACAACTCATTTGATAGGTTTCAGTCCGGCTTTAGACCCCACCACAGCACTGAGACTGCTCTCGTCAAGGTTACAAACGATATCCGGCTAAACACTGACGCAGGCAAAGTCTCAATCCTAATCCTGTTAGATCTGAGTGCTGCCTTTGACACTGTCGACCATGAGATCCTCTTACAGAGACTAGAGGACTGGGTTGGCGTCGCTGGCACCGCCCTAAGTTGGTTTAGGTCTTACCTTGAAGACAGGAAGTACTTTGTGGAGATTGGAAACTGTGTCTCAGATCATATGGCCCTGACCTGTGGAGTACCACAGGGGTCGATCCTGGGACCTCTTCTTTTCAATCTCTACATGCTGCCGTTAGGTCAGTTAATACGCAGAAACGAAGTTTCCTATCATAACTATGCAGACGACACTCAGATCTATGTCTCACTGACTGCAGGAGAACATGGACCAGTGGACTCACTCCTTCACTGTATCCAACAGATCAGTGAGTGGATGCAAAACAACTTCCTTCAGCTAAACGCAGACAAAACTGAAATGATTGTCTTTGGTCCCCAGAAACAAAGAGAGAGCGTCATCTGTCATCTACAGTCTCTCTCCCTAAAACCTTCAAACAAGGTCAGAAATCTAGGGGTAATACTGGACTCAGACTTAAATTTTAATAGCCACATCAAATCAGTAACATCAGCAGCTTTTTACCATCTAAAAAACATTGCCAGGATCAAAAACATAGTGTCTAAAGCAGACTTGGAGATTCTCATCCATGCATTTGTCTCCAGTAGGTTAGACTACTGCAATGGCCTGCTCACAGGTCTGTCCAAACAGGCTGTAAAACAGCTGCAGTACATTCAAAATGCAGCAGCTCGAGTCCTGACTAGAACCAGGAAGTACGACCATATTAGTCCGGTCCTCAGGTCTCTGCACTGGCTTCCTGTGGCTCAGAGAATAGACTTTAAAACAGCTTTGCTTGTGTACAAGTCTCTCCATGGCCTCGCACAAAAATATATTAGTGACATGTTAGTCCCATATGAACCAGCCCGGACTCTGAGGAGCACAGGGACTGGACTCCTGTTAGTGCCCAGAGTCAGAACTAAACATGGGGAGGCTGCTTTTCAGATTCATGCTGCTAAAATCTGGAACATTCTTCCTGAAGATGTGAGACAGGCCTCCTCTCTGACAATGTTTAAAACCAAGTTAAAAACGGTGCTGTTTAGCTGTGCATACAACTGAGGGATTTTATATTTTTATCTTTCTTTTTAATGTTCTGTGATTATTTATGATTTTAATGCTATCTTGTTCAGCACTTTGAGTTGCCTTGTGTATGAATTGTGCTATACAAATAAACTTGCCTTGCCTTGCCTTGCCTTGCGGTACTTCAAAAAACTCAGAACTCGGAATACTTCAAAAACTCAGAAAACTCATAAAACATGTTCAGATCTTTCATAAAACTTGTCAACAATCTTCAGTAAAATACCAAACTTCATCAGTCGATGGTTCCAGATATTGCTTTGAAAACAGTCTCTCCCACTTCTCCTGTTGGTTTCTTCAGGCTGCATTTGTGTCGAGCCATGAATTCTTCTGTGACGTATCTTTCAATCACACGTTTCAGCTTCAGTGTCCAGATTCAGAAATCCAATTCAGTCCAAATTATGTTCAAATTGTGTAATCCAATTTTTCCAAATGATGTCCATGCAAAAGAGGACGCTGGTGTTGTCCATGTCTCGACAGCTTACAGCCTGACTGGAATCAGGGGCTGTGCAGATTGTCCAAGTGCTGATCCAGATGCATTCTCTTGAGGTTTCTCAGTTTTGGCTTAAAAAAAAACAACACATTTTTGTGTAAAAAAAATAAGTCTTCTGTTCACTAGATGTTACAGACAAGGCCCGCATCCTTCCACCACCTGAAGAAGATGACAAAGTCTGGGATCGCGTCTTTAATTCAGACAGAAGACATGTTTTATTGTCGATGGTAGAGACAGCACGAACAACACGAACAACAGAATGCAAGTGTATTATACAGAGCGGAGGCATGGAGACCTCCAATCAGCAGCTGCCACAGTGCCATGTAGTGAAGAAGATGACATAGTCTGGGATCGCGTCTTTAATTCAGACAGAAGACATGTTTTATTGTCGATGGTAGAGACAGCACGATCAAAGCACACGATCACAGATACAACAGAATGCAAGTGTATTATACAGAGCGGAGGCATGGAGACTTCCAATCAGCAGCTTCCACGGTGCCATGTAGCTTGGCCTTCAGATAGACAAAACAAGGGAAAAGTACTGGCTTCTGCACATTGATAGAATGATGAGTTTAACTTTAACAAAAGTTGTTTAAAAGTGTTATGAAATCTCACATTCCCCCCTCTGGTCATACATTCACGTGTGACCATCAGGATCGATAAACAGCAACATAACATCATAACTCAATACATCAAAAACTCAAACTCGGTACTTCACTCTGTACTTCAAAAACTCAGAACTCGGAATACTTCAAAAACTCATAAAACATGTTCGGATCTTTCATAAAACTTGTCAACAATCTTCAGTAAAATACCAAACTTCATCAGTCGATGGTGGTTCCAGATATTGCTTTGAAAACAGTCTCTCCCACTTCTCCGTGTTGGTTTCTTCAGGCTGCATTTGTGTCGAGCCATGAATTCTTCTGTGACGTGTCTTTCAATCGCACGTTTCAGCTTCAGTGTCCAGATTCAGAAATCCAATTCAGTCCAAATTATGTCCAAATTGTGTAATCCAATTGTTCCAAATGATGTCCATGCAAAAGAGGACGATGGTATTGTCCATGTCTCAGCAGCTCACAGCCTGAGTGGAATCAGGGGCTGTGCAGATAGTCCATGTGCTGATCCAGATGCATTCTCTTGAGGTTTCTCAGTTTTGGCTTAAAAAAAACACTTTTTGTGTAAAAAAAAAGTCTTCTGTTCTCTAGATGTTACAGACAAGGCCCGCATCCTTCCACCACCTGAAGAAGATGACAAAGTCTGGGATCGCGTCTTTCATTCAGACAGAAGACATGTTTTATTGTCAATGGTAGAGACAGCACGATCAAAGCACACGATCACAGATACAACAGAATGCAAGTGTATTATACAGAGCGGAGGCATGGAGACCTCCAATCAGCAGCTTCCACGGTGCCATGTAGCTTGGCCTTCAG